TTTCACCATGTTGACCAGGATGGTCTCGATTTCTTGACCTCGTGATCCACCCGCCTCGGCCTCCCAAAGTGCTGGGATTACAGGCGTGAGCCACCACGCCCGGCCCTATTTTTCTTTTTTTTTAGACATGGTCTGGCTCTGTCACCTAGGCTGGAATGCAGTGGGACGATCATGGCTCACTGCAGCATCAACCTCCTGGCCTCAAGCCATCCTCCCACCACAGCCTCCCTAGTAGCTGGGATTACAGGTACATGCCACCATGCCCAGCTAATTTTTTTTATTTTTTGAGACAGGGTCTGGCTCTGTCACCCAGGCTGGAGTGCAGGGGGATGATCACTGCAAGATCAACCTCCTGGCCTCAAGCCATCCTCCCACCATAGCCTCCCAAATAGCTGAGACTATAGGCACATGTCGCCATGCCCAGCTAATTTTTTTTTTTTTTTTTTTTTTTGAGATGGAGTCTTGCTCTGTTGCCCAGACTGGAGCGCAGTGGCACGATCTTGGCTCACCACTCCTGCTTCGGCCTCCTGAGTAACTGGGATTACAGGCATGTGCCACCATACTCAGCTAATTTTGTATTTTTAGTAGAGACTGGATTTCTCCATTTTGGACAGGCTGGTCTCGAATTCCTGACCTTGTGATCTTCCCACCTCAGCCTCCCAAAGTGCTCAGATTACAGGCATGAGCCACCGCACCTGGCCTAATTTTTGTATTTTTGTAGAGACAGGGTTTTACCATGTTGCCTAGGCCTGTCTTAAAATCCTAGACTCAAACATCTGCCCACTTCAGCCTCCCAGGGTGCTGGGATTACAGGTGTGAGCCACCATGCTTGGCTCAGATTCTTCATTAAACACCCAGTGAAATTTGGGTTCCTCTCTGTTGGAGTGGGCAGTTGCAGATAAACAAGGGAAGTTAGAATGATCCATGTAGCAATGGATGAGACTTGAAAACATTAGTACGGACTCTTGTGTAATTTAATATAAATATAAAGATGGTTACATTTAGAAATGAGTATANTCCATGTAGCAATGGATGAGACTTGAAAACATTAGTACGGACTCTTGTGTAATTTAATATAAATATAAAGATGGTTACATTTAGAAATGAGTATACAGGGGTTAATTTGCATACATAAATCTTGTGCTGCCGACTGAGAAGGCCTAGAATTGATGGCATCTCGATGGCAGTGAACATGTCTAGTGCCCAAGTCTTGGTTTCTAATACTGTCCTGCAATAAAATGAACATATAGAAAATGTTCCTGACATCTTGTAGTGCTGGAAAGTAAGAAGGTGCTAAAATAGGCAGGCGTGGTGGCTCATGACTGTAATCCCAGCACTTTGGGAAGCCAAGGCAAATGGATAACCTGAGGTCAGGAGTTCAAGACCAGCCTGGCTAACATGGTGAAATCCCAACTCTACTAAAACTACAAAAATTAGCTGTGGTGGTACGTGCCTGGAACCCCAGCTACTTGGGAGGCTGGGGCAGGAGAATCGCTTGAACCCCGGAGGTAGAGGTTGCAATGAGCTGAGATTGCACCACTGCACTCCAGCCGGGGCAACAGAGCAAGACTCTGTCTCAAAAAAAAAAAAGCTACTAAAATACACACACACACACACACACACACACACACTCTCTCTCTCTCTCTCTCTCTGTCTCTCTCTCTCTCTCACACACACACACACACACACACACACACACTAATGGGAATATGTCAAAGGGATACAGGAACCAAATGAAAAGCTTCCAATGCCCAAAGCTTCCAACGTGAGAATAACGATGAAGTATTGGAATGTAACTCAAAGTATAAAATAAATACTCATGAGTCCATAGTCATAGAAATATGGTGTTTGAGAAATTGTCACAACTAAAAGAAGCCTGAGAGAGATGACACCCAAATGTAGTATGATGTCCTGGATGGAATCCTGGCGCATAAAAAGGACATTCAGACTAATGAAATCTAATAAAGATTCAGATTTGCCACACTCAGCAACCTTTTGCTGTTTTTAGTTAATAATGGCCTTTAGTTAGTCATGATTTATCAATATTAGTTCATTAATCGTGATAAGTGTACCACACTAATACAAGATGTTAAAAATAGGGGAAATGCATGGAGTGTATAGGAGCTCTCTGTACTGTCTTTGCAATAATTCTGTAAATGTTAAACTGTTTCACAATATAGGTGTTTTATTTTCATTTTTGGAAATTGTTATAACACGTGAACTGTGCATGTTCTTTCCTAGGCCTCAAAAAAGAAGGTGTATATGCTGTATAACCTGCAGCCAGACCGGTCTGTGACTGGTGGAGCCTGGTACAGTGACCAGGATTTTGAATCTGAATTTGTAGAGGTGCTTAACCAACAGTGTTTTAAATTTCTACAATCCAAGGTGAGGTATGATTGAGGAAACATCACTGCAAACTTTCTTTTAAAAAGCTTTTCATGGCCGGGCGCGGTGGCTCAAGCCTGTAATCCCAGCACTTTGGGAGGCCGAGGCGGGTGGATCACAAGGTCAAGAGATCGAGACCATCCTGGTCAACATGGTGAAACCCCGTATCT